TGTCTAATAATCTATAATTTTCTATTCATCTTAGAACTAATAAAGTTTGTTAATGTGTTTACAAATTAATGATTACTAAATGCAAATATGAAATAATTACTCTGGCTAACATTAACAAGGCTGCTAATGGTATCTCAGGCACTGGAGTCGCGCCTTGCCTCGTGTCGTACACTCGTGAAGGACAACCAACGCCCCCTCAGCCTGCCACCACCCGGCAACCACTCTGCCAGGTAACACACTAACGCCTGAAGCCATGAACTGGCACGTATTGTCAGTAACCATATAATGGGGCATTTGTTCTTGCATGAAAAGTTAAGGTCTCAGAGAGAGTACCTCATGATTTTGCATATCAGCATGTTTCATGGTTAATATTACACTTAATGTTTATCACTCTGCCAAATTATACTTTTTTATATATAAATATTAACACATGGTATGGGATATACTGATTCATTTTGTAGAACAGGATCAAAAGAACAATTTTCATGACAGTTTTTGCCTGTGTTAAGCATATATTTTTACAATCTTAAAATTTTGGTTTGCATGCACCCAGTGGAGAGAATGATAATTGCATGGCTATTATGTATTGGTTGGTTATGGGCAACATGGCAAATAAAATAAGGATTCTTTTGACTTATTTCTTTCTCTTCATTTCATGTATTTTTGTTAAATGCTTTTCTGCTAGACTTGCAGATAGAATCTTTCTTGACTGAAGACAATTTCTGTTCTAATATTCCATAGCTTTGTCCTTTGTATTTTAGCATGGCCTCTGCAGAGATGTTAACACATTTTGCCAGTACAGTACAGTATTAATATTTTAGTTACGCATTTCTCTGCCTTTTAATGCACATGTGTTTTATGAGATAGGTACTTTAATTTAACATCAGTGTTCTTAGTGGGCCAGCCAGAGGCTAGGGCCCGCATAGGAATTTCCCTGGGGGGGGGGGGGGGGGATCGATGTTGTTGAAATTACAGTATATACTGTAGCATATTTTGCATTGTGTTGACTTCTAATTTTTTTTAAGCCATGCTCCTCAGTGATGTATATTTTGATGACTTGTGTTGATCCATGCTTAGTAATTTTTTTCTAATTTATGTTCAATTTTATGTTGTACTCTACTGGTATTTCCCATATACTACTAGCAAGATATGTTTTTAGTGATTATTTGGTTTGATTGATTTGGTTTTGTCTTATAATTAATAAGCTTGGCATTAGATCCCTTAAATTGTTTTTGGAACTTCTGCCATACCAACTGGACTGTCATTCCCAAGTAATAATGACTACTGGTTAAATTAACAGATAAAGCTCTTTTAATTATTACATGGAAGTAATTAATCTTTGTTTAATAATGTAATACTGTATCTCAATATATTTCTAAAATTAGTTTAAATTGTGAAGTTTGTTATGCTAATTTCATTGTTGCTGTTGTTAATGATATAAAAATATCTACCCAAGTTTAAGCTTTTGGTCAAGTGCTTGGGAAGTTCAGGCCACACCAATCTTAAGGTATAAAGGGGTGTATTATTTTGTTTATCAGTGTTTTTCCTTTTTTTTTTTGACAGATGAAAATCCAGCAGATTAACAGGGACTTGAATAGGGTGAACTCAGTATTCAAAGCAGGTAAATGCCAAACACATTTCTTTCTGCCAACACTTCTTCTAACATACAGATTTTTTTTCTCACTAATATGTGCAAAGATTGTGTTCAAGCGTATCGGCTATAATGAATAGGTTAAATATGTTGGAGTGGTATTTAAATGATTTAATTATAAATTTATTGGGTTTGCCAGTGAATCCGAGGTGAGCTTAGAGGAAGGCATAGGTGGTGAATGATAGCAAGTATGAGTGCATGTATGAACCAATGTGGTACCTGTGACTGAATGAGCAGAAGTCATTAGGTAGAAATTAATTATATAAACAGTTTGCCTCAGTGGAGAGCGCTTTAGACTCTCGGATCTAGGGACCAGGGTTCGATCTCGGCAGCTGGCGAGAAAACAATGGGCAGAGTTTCCTTCACCCTGATACCCGTTACCTAGCAGTAAATAGGAACGTGGGAGTTAGACAGTTGCTACGGGCTGCTTCCTGGGGGTGGAGGCCTGGTCAAGGACCAGGCCGCGGGGACACTAAAGCCCCGAAATCGTCTCAAGATAATATAGGGTACCTAATATTATGACTGCACCATCTGGACTACTATTGTAGATATGCTTCCAAACAGGATGGTACTAGTTGACAGTGATGCTACTGACATTGAAAGGTATTATATATGGTTTGAGTCTTGTTCTAATTACAGTATCTTTAAACAAAATTGTAAATTGTTCCTCCAGTTTTTTCACCCCCGGATTAGTGTTGCTCATCCTATGATAGGGAGCAAGTAGACATGATATATAATCTGATTTATTGCTTTAAAGGGTAGAGTCTTAAACACAAGAAAATAATAGAATATGCATGGATATGGCTTCATTATTTTTAAACATAAATATACAATTAATAAATGTGTAAAATAAGCTAGAAAGGTAAAATTAAATTTTGCTCCATTTAAGCAGTACAGTAGTTAATCTCTGGATTTTTAAATTGTTCTTTTATTATTGTGTTACTGAGAATAATTTGTTGTATTTTTTCTGGCTTGAATTTAAATTAGAATGGCTTTTATTTTACATTTTTAAATCATAGATGTTAATCGTGTCCTTAAATTTGCAGTCTTCTTACTCATTTAGCAATAACAATATTTTCTTTGTTCTCATGATGTTCAGCTCAAATAATAACTAATGCATAATAATTTTAAAAATATTAACTCGTGTTAATACTAGATCAAATTCACAGATTAGCGGTAACTTTTTGGTATGACAAATAATAAGAATGACTGACGAACACAGTGGAGAGACTGATCCAGAACTCTCCGGTGCAAATGACAACTTAAATTTAACAAAGGTGTATGGTTCAGGTGGTAACGTGTTGGGGCCAAGTGGGCTTTGATGGCTAGCTAACTATTGCTTATTCCTTGCTCATTTGTTGTACACATGATGGTACTCTGCCATATTATACATGGTTTCTCTTCTTAATGAATCTTATATTTTTGTTGTCATATTCTTTATTTCCTTCACTCCCTTATTATATACACATTGCAACTTTACCATGTCATTTATATATAATTACATTAATATACCATGTAATTTATTTTAATCTTTGATTAAATAATGTGGTTGTCAAGAAGAAGACCTGGACAAAATAAGTGTTTGGAGTGCCACTTGGTAAATGGAATTTAATGTGAATAAATACCATGTTATGGAATGTGGAATAGAACATAGACCCCCATGCAACCTATAAATTGTGAGAAATCTTGAAAGAATTATGATAAAGAAAGAGATCTAGGTGTGGTTCTAGATAGAAAACTATCACCTGAGGACCACATAAAGAACATCCTGCGAGGAGCCTATGCTACACTTAGCATAGGCTAATGCAAAATCTGACCAAATGATGAGTTAAAATGCCCAAAATTGGTCTTGGATTTTACATTTGGTCAAGCAAAAAGGACGTTCTACAAACAAGCTCCCAAGTCTAAGCCAGAAATAAAAAGCTTGTTGGTATTACCATATTTTGATGGACTAGTAAAGCTTGCCCCAGTCCTGAAAAACCTTAATATTAACCACTGATCAAAAATACTAATACAGTTAAGTCCGTGTTAATTAAGAACTCGTCCTTGTCTGTAGCAGGTTGTGTACACTCCATCCCTTGCAATGGGTGAGCACATGTTTACATAGGCCAGACGGGTAAATCTCTCTTCACGTTTAAAACATTCATATGCTATTCGTACAGCCCAGCACTCCAGTGCCTTGTATTTACATTCCAGTTTGTGATCATTTTATTGACTTCAGAGGGGCGAAATGTATTGTTTAAAATAAGGGTTTCGTTGAACAAAATGTGATTGTCTGCTCTGATCAAACACTGTAACGGCCTTAATTTAAGCCCTGGCATGTACAAATTAGATCCCCATATAAGCTTCAATATAGCACGTGAATACAATATACCATCTATTTATCCCCTTTTTTGTCCCCTTTTATCCATAGGTTTCATCCCCTTTAATTGTATATAGGTCAATAGGCCTTTATTCTTTTCTTGGTGGTCAGGTGGCCTGCCCTGGTGGGTATGAGGTCTGCCTTCCACATTTTTCTTCATTCTAAAAATGCTCTGAAGGCGGCGAATCGAGCCGAAAATGCGTTTAGCATTCTCTATTTTTCACTTGTTTTTTTCCACATATAATAGCACAAACAATATAACTGTGATAATATAATATAATATAATAACAATATAATTTGATTCCTCAATCAGATGCAAAAAGGTACATTTTTTAGCCTGGTCCCAGGCCAGGCTTGGGGAAAAACCTGGCTACTCTAAGCAGGTTGGTACTCTTAAGTGTTGGAGGGTGTGTGTGTTCAAGCGAGTCCACTTGCAAGACACTTTGAACACAAGCAAGAGATGCTCTAGTACATCTGATAATGAAAACAGATCTTCATATTATAATTTTTCCTGCATTTTTACAGCTGTATTTTGTTTTTAACTATCCTGTACATGACTAGTTTTAAATACAACAATTTTGAAATTTTGAATGGGTCAGTGAAGTGAAAAGTCAAGATAATGTAAAGAAAAGTAAAGAGGGAAACACACGCATGCATAAAAATTAAATGAGGGATAGAAGAGAGTGTTTAACATGGTTATGTGGTACAATATATCAGTTTGCATTAAAAATAATGTTGACATGTACTGGTCTTATGGGGAAGGAGTCAAGCCTGGCCCTGAGCTAGGCTTGGGGAGTAAAAAAATTCTCGGAACCACCCCAAGGTAAGGTATGACTTCTGCAAATAGGGAATGGACAAGGAAGAAAGAATTCAGTTTGTGATAAATGCTTTGGGGAGGGGGGTTATGGAATTGTGTTGTACTTTGCTCTGGTAAGTTTTAAATACAATGAAAAGCAATTCATTACCAACAATCTTTTCATCCTGCAGACAGAAGCAGCTGACATACGGCCACCCCGTTCGCACCACTGTGACTCCTGCATAGAGCGCCTTTGTACTCGAGTGGACTCGTCACACACAAGGGACACGGCTGAATGCATGAAAAGATCTCTAATTCCAAAACAGTGTTCAGTTAATTTGAGAAAAAGCCATCCAATGAAAGAGCTAATGACAATTGGCATTTCAAGTGTGACAAATGACGTGGGTGGCAAATTTTGTGATTCAAATAAAATAAGTGAAATTTCTAATTTGAGACCAAGAAGGTTTAGTCGGCAGCAAAGTCAGTGCAACTTTATTTATAATACTTATCATCTGTCTACCACAAAAGATGAATATTTTTTCTAAAGAAAACTTGAATTTAAGTTGTATTTATTATTTTGTTGGAAAAGTTGCTCTCCAGGATGTGTAAATAGTTAGGCTTATTTTTTGAAATTCATGGATTATTATCTTTTTAAGATGTGAGTGAGTGAAGTATGCATTTTTGGTCATGGACAGTGCTGTTACACATCTTAGATCTGCTTTTACTTCCATAATAAATTGCTTATAGTGTATTGGGTGCTGCATTTTTAATGCCAACGTTGGAAAATTACAGCTAGCAGAAATTTTATCTTTCACCTTTAGTAAGTAGCAAATGATATTGAAGGTGACCACAAAGCAGCAGCACATTGTTAATGGTGGATTTTACTTATTATTGTCACATGTTGTGACGATACAAATTCCCTCCCCACACAATGTAATTACAGTGACAGAATTGACATTTAGATATCCCATCCTTATCATTCCCAGAATTGGTGTGAGTGGTATATATTGTAAGGTTATGCATCATAATTTTGGACTGCTTTACATTTATATATTTTGCCAAGGAAAGGAATATTTTCTGTGACTGACACAAGGTTGTTTACCAAGAGACTTATCAACACTTTTCCTACATACAGTGATAATTTGAGTTGACAAAAATAATGATACAATTGTATTTTTCCTCGACACTGTACAAATTTTTATTTGTGCAGTGTTTTCATTTATGTGACCATACAATGCTGTTAACTGTTAGTAATGGAGGTAATGATTTAAATACCAAATTATATTAGGAATTATACTTCAAAAATCCTGTCTATCTTCTATTATGAATTCTCTGATCAGACTTGTGTATATATTCTTCAAAGTCTTTTTTTTCCTAGTTTCACCACAGTGCACACCACCTATCATTGTATCATGACTCCATGCCCAACTCAACATTCTAAACCTAACACTGCAATGTTTAAAGGAGTGGAATGTCCAGCAGGGTTATTATGCTGACTTGAAAAATATTGTGGAAATTCATAAGAATGTAAAACCTCTCAAGTTAATTGATTCATACATGCAAAAATCAAATAAATTGACATAGAAATCAAGCCAAATGACTTGTATACATTGAGGTTTTGGGGGTCAAACTATAGTTGTGATCAGTCTGGGCATATTGTCTCGACTTAGTGGGTATGTCAGCTTTTATCTCATAAAATGTCATGTCTCTTAATCCAATCTGTTTTCTAATCAAATGATCGACATTACAGAAATTCCATTTGATTTTATTGTGTATTCCTTTAGGATTTATTTAAACATTGATAAATCAAGCTATAGTCTGCTGTAAAGGATAGTTTTCAATCCTGATACTGAAGTGCTGACTATGCAATAAAATTCCTTGAATCTTTGAAATTAAAGGCTGGATATGTACATTTATATGAATATTTTGTTTATTAGATTGGTCTCTATTCTCATTAAAAATTTACCACAACTTAATGTTTATTATTAAGATATTCCTTCTCTGTTTCTCTTAAATTTACACTTGGTACTGTGTTTTAACCAATGATCAATCTACAGAGAACTATTGAATCGCTGACACAGCTGCCTCGGTTCTAGAAGGTATCTAAATACGACTTCACATTGTGTTCCCTTCTCAGTTTAGTTTTCGCAAGTGCCTGAGCAAACAAACAAATTGGCAAACAGATGTCCTGGTGAACTTGGCGGTCTATATTCGTACCGCTTTTGCTGCGAAGACCTCCATTGTTGCCGTCCTTTCTGACCTGGAAATGGCTTACGACACCACTTGGAGATGTCATATTCTGTCCCAACTTCATTTTTTTGTCCTTTTTGGTCATCTCTTCGTATTCCGACTTTTACCCGGTTATCCATTCCTCAGTCCTTACCCGTTGGCAGGCTTCTTGGTTGTCTGTTACTGGTAACAAGCTACGTACTCTTAAATGTTGTGTTTCCTCGTGGCCGTCCTCCTTCCACCGTAACCGGCGGTGGGAAACAGCTCTGGCGAGGTTGCGTATTGGCCATACTCGCTTAACCCATGGTCACTTGATGGAGCGCCGCCCTACTCCTTATTGTCCTAGTTGCATTGTCCCTCTTACGGTCGTGCATGTCCTTCTTGAGTGTCCTGACTTCCAGGACGAGCGTGTGTCTTGCTTTCCGACCGCCCCTCGCGGTCACCTGTCCCTCGATAGAATTCTTGGTGACTCGGATACTTTTGATATCGCTCGCCTTATGCGTTTTTCTCGTATTGGCATCCTTGGTGATATTTAGCGCCCTCTGATTATTTTGCGTATTTGATGGTGCTACATAGCCTTCCCGGTTTGGTGCCTTCTTTTGATAATTACTTACTTACTTGGTCATCTCTCCCTCTCTCTCCAAAGCTTCCTTTCTTGTTGTTCCTTTCGAGTGAGGCTTGGTACCACTCTCTGCCCCTTTTTGGCAATATGAGGGTGTACCCCAAGGTAGTGTTCTGAGCACTACTACTTTTTTTTTTCTAGTTGCCCTCAATGGTCTTCTTTTCTCCCTTCCTTCTGGCATCTTCTCCGCTCTGTCGATCTTATCCTTTGCTGTCGGGGTGATGATTCGTCTCTCCTTCAATGGCGGCTTCAACTTGCAATTGATGCCGTGTCGTCTTGGGCCACTAATTATGGCTTCCGGTTCTCTACGTCTAAGACTTGTGCTGACTTTTACTCGGAAGCACGTCGTTTTTCGTCCCTCTCTGTCGCTCTATGGTCATCCCCTTAAGTACAAGGATTCTGCTAAGCTTTTGGGGTTAATCTTTGACACGCGTTTATCTTGGTCGCCCCATATCTCTTACCTCAGAGTTGAATGCTCTAAGGCCCTTACCCTCCTCAAGGTTTTATCCCGTACTTCTCGGGGAGCAGATAGGCGCGCTCTCCTTGCTTTACATTCCTCGTTTGTCCTGTCTAAACTCAATTACAGTTGCCCTGCTTACTCATCTGCTTCTTCTCTTCGCTGTCTTGATGCTTTGCACCATACTGGGTTGCGCCTCGGCTCTGGTGCCTTTCATTCGACTCCCGCCCTCAGCTTGTTTGTTGACACTGGCTTCCTATCTCTCCAGGACCGCCGTGATTGTTACTGTCTTTGCTATCTTGTGTGGCTCTTGCAACATCCTTTCTCTCGCCTCTGTCATGCTTCGACTTTTACCCCTCCTGTATTTCCTGTTCCTCTTCACCACCTCCCTCTTCCTGTCCGGTTATCTCACCTACAGGATTCTCTTTCGGTTCATACTTCTAATATTTCTCCTCGTATTGTTCCTTCCTTGACCCCGTGGCAAGTCCCCCTTCCAAAATTTTGTTCTTCCTTGACCTGCATCACAAACTTTTACGCCTCCTACGGTTCTGAAATGCCTTTTCCTTGAGCATTTTTCTAAACACTCGCTCTGTTTCCATCTTCACCGATGGCTCCAAGTCTGCGGACGGTGTAGGCTACTGTTGTTTTTCCTGACCGCACTTGTGTCCTCTATCTTCAGAGACTACCATCTTCACAGCAGAACTTTATGCGATTCTCTATGCTCTTCGTCTCCTGCTTTCTCGTTGTCAATCTTCCTTTGTGGTTGTCGTTGACTCTCGTAGTGCCCTCATGGCTCTCGGGTCCTTCAATCCGGTCCATCCACTGGTCGTCGAGATTCAATATTGGCCGTTTCTTATTTCTAGTAAATTTTAGTCAGTTGAGTTTTACTGTAACCCAGCCATGTTGGTGCGCTTCTTTACATGAGTGTACGGACACTGCCGCTGGGGAAGCTGTTCGCTCTTGTCCCATCTCCCGTAAAGGTATTCGTTATTCCGACTTTTACCCAGTTATTCATTCCTCCATCCTTACCTGTTGGCAGGATTGTTGGTCTTCTGTTACTGGTAACAAACTGCGTATTCTTAAGGGTAGTGTGTCCTCATGGCCTTCCTCCTACCACCGTAACCAGTGATGGGAAACGGCTCTGGCGAGGTTGCGTATTGGCCATTCACGCTTAACTCGCGGTCACTTAATGGAGCGTCGCCCTACCCCTTATTGTCCAAATTGTATTGTCCCTCTTACAGTCGTGCATATCCTTGTTGAATGTCCTGACTTCCAGAACGAGCGTGTCTTTTGCTTTCCGACCATCCCTCGCAGTCGCTTGTCCCTCGAAAGAATTCTAGGTGAATCGGATACTTTTGATATCGTTCGCCTTGTGCGTTTCTTCTCATATTGGCATCCTTAGTAGTTAGCGCCCTCTGATTATTCCGCACATTCAATGGTGCTACATAGCCTTCCCGGTTTGGTGCCTTCTTTTGATAATTACTTACTTCACATTGTGTTTGTTTCATCAGTGCACTCAGGAGTGAAATAAATAAATTGAAAGTACTGTAGCTTAATCCAGGTACACTTCTCGCTTCACGATGCCTACACATCCCCCAAAAAACTAAACATACACGAACCTTACTAACTTGCTGCTCAATTAAGTACTTGAAACACCAAGTCAGCAAAGTTTTAAAGCAGGAAAATCTTGTCTCTTGCAACTACTTTATCACTATTTAACAATTAAGGAGGCATTAGAAGCAATCCAAAATGTAGGAGTTAAATTTTTAATTGTCTAAAGAATAGATTATAATGAATGGCAGTAAACCAAACAAAATCCAGCCTGTTCAATGCAAAGCTTTGTTCTACAAGAGAGAATGTTTGTGCAGTTAATCCTCATCCTTCTACAAGACATAAGACTAGAATATAAGCCACAGTTTCCCATCTTTCAAAGACGAAACCAAAATGAGTACGAAAATTGCCTCTGGAATATGCACAAAATAACTATTAACGAAGTCTTGAAACATGCAATGGCAAATTGGCATTATAGTTATAAATTTCCATTTACTTCTGTATGAGAGAAGCTGTAACCTTAAAGAAGTACAGGATACAAGACAGTTATAAAGAGGAGCAACTAAATCAACGACTTCGGAATAATATTGTCAGAAGATCGAACAATTAGAGTACAGCAAATCAAACATTGCAACAGACGGGTAAATGATAGATAATGAAAACCTTCAAAACAAAGGATACCATAAAAATGACTACTCAAAACACTAGTGCCATCTCGTACAGAATACCGTTCTGTTCTCGCATCACCTTTCAAAAGAGTTGAGACTGCAGAGCTGGACAGTATGCAGAAATCCCTTACTTTAATATAGAATATTCCCTATAGAATTGGCAAAGCACTTTATCTACTGGCACAGTAGTGAACGTTGAGGATTTGTTAGTTTCATGAAGGAATCTTCTTGCATTAGGAAAGGAGGAAGGAGTTGCCTTACACTAAAAAAAGATATTGATCTTTTTATTTAATTTAATTTTGTTTAATTGATATATATAAGAGTTCTTACATTCTTGTAAAGCCACTAGCATGCATAGCATTTCGGGCAGGTCCTTAATCCTAATTACCGCTGGAATACAACTCGCCAAATCGTAAAACAACCAGGTACCCATTCATTGCTGGGTGAACAGAGGCTACAGTTAAGGATTGACACCCAGTCAATCCTCCCTGGCCAGGATATGAACCCAGGCTAAAACGCTCACGAAACCCCAGGTGATTATTTTACCACTGCGCCACAGGGATTGTTTTACAATGAAATTACCAGCTTGGCTGATACAGTAAGGAGACAAGAGAGGCAAATTAAGGAACTAAAGAAATAAAATGAGACATGGAAAATGAAGGGGAAACAAATCTGAAAAAGTAAACTGGAAGATAGAAAAACATGGACAAGAATACAGTAACTCTACAGGCTAGCAAAACAAGGAGTTAAGTCAGGATATTCTAAGAGAAAATCCATGGTAAGCTCAAACGGAGGTTACTAAAGGATTAGTCAAATTCAAAGAGGAAATGAAAGAAACATGTGTGCAATAAAAGAGAAAGAAACAATCAGACGCATAGAATTGGCAAAGCACGTATGTTTGTAGATTTGGCAATCAGACGTATGTTTGAAAGTCAAAAACAAATGAGCACTCAGGAACAGACATTGGACAGCCAGTTAGGAATGAACTGGTTCCCAGCAGTAAATTGGTACAAAACACTGTACATAAAGTAAGAAATCACATTAATGTTAATGTGATTTCTTTGCATTATTTGAGTGTAGCTACATTCGTGCTACATAACTATTAGTCTATGTATCAGCACATTAAAAAGCGTAGGACTGAGGACTCCTCCCTGAGGTGTGCCCAATTCAAAGGAGGCATTATAGCTACTCTTAACCCTCTTATAGATAGATGACCGAGGCAGTTCTGTTACTCAAATAACCCCTAATCCATTTCAACAAATCTCCCCCGACTCCAAAAAAAGTTAGTTGCTCGAGGATGATTTCACTATTAGCTGTGTCAAAAGCAGCTGGAGGTCAAGAAAGGCTGCACGAGTGTTTGGTTCCTGTCTGATGAAGTACTCAGCAAAGCAAGATTGTCTACTTCTCCCAGGGAGAAAGCCATGCAAGTTAGAAGTGAGTTGAC